GTATGTAACAAGTCATTATCTCGTCACATCAAGCAGACAAATACGCAGCAGGATCTCACTCTCTCGCTCACACACACACACACACACACACACATATATATATGCAGGTCAACATTGAAATGAAAGTAAAAGGCATCCTCTTTTATAATGGTCTCTGAAGTATAAAATGTATTTAGCACCATGTTGTGCTTGCTTGCAGTTAAATCACCAGGCATCCTTTACTGTACTACGCATACATGCAGTTAAATTATTTTGGTGAAAAAAATAATTTCCTTGATTAAATTTTGGTTATCTAGGGTCACAAAACACATAAATATAGCTAGAAACTACTGTGATGAAGAGTATAGTGATTACAGTGCTATCAGGAGTGTTGCCAATGACTTACCAAACATCTACATTTCTTTTTGGTTGCAGTATCAATGTATCTGAGGTGCAGTAAAGCAGAACATCAGCTGAGAATGGCCTCAGGTGTTTCAATCCCACATGATCACACAACAGGTCTAAACCACCTTACCACTAATTGATGCAATTAGAGCAGCTGGCAGACTATAATGTGGGACTCAGAGTACACGGATTGTTTTTGCTTGTGTGGTTGAGGGAGCTGGGGGCGGAGAGGAGTCTTATTTGCTGATGCAGCCAGTAACAGGGGAGAGGGTCACAGCTCAAGCCTTCAAAATCTGGACAAAGATCATCGTATGAGCCAATAAATTACTTATTTCAAATCACACAAATACCAGCAATAACAGTTTTGGCCACTTGAGGGCAGCAGGAACAAGCTTTGAAAACAACATTAATAGGTTATCACGTATTAAATTGATAAGCGAACAGTTGCCTTCAGTATTTACACATCTGACAGATACCAAGCAACATTATCATTCTCTAAATTCAATATTCAGTCCTTTTAGCTCTGGTTTTGGTCTCTACCAACTCCTAAGGAAATATCCAACTCTTAAGCTGTTAAATACTCCACTATGTTCACCAGCTTGTTTCTACCTTTGTCCATCTGCTGTAATCCTTTGTGGGTTTGTCCCAACAAGCAAACCATTTCACATGCACATACTGAATGATCCTAATATATATAATAGCAACTTGAAGCACTTCTTATATTAATGTCTTGGTAAATAATTACAACTTAACCAATTTCTTGGACCCTGGGCTAAACCATCAGGATGTTCATTCATTCAATTATGTTAACTACAGGACAGAAAAATAGCAGTGAATATTCTGTACAGTGCTTCAGTTTATTAACTCTTTAGTGTTACAAAAATGTACAGTTTGTATGAACACTGTTGTTATAACTGAACCCTAGGATCACTGTTCCATTACAGTGAAATTAAACATTATTTGGTGCTCCGTCACCACTGGACTGTCCATCACAAACACAAAAAATGTGGAATAAATACTTTGGGAAAGTATTCACATGTTGTCGAACGCACCCAGCTGTGGAGTGAGGCAGAAGCTTTGAAGGAATATGACATTTTCAAATTTATTCTAGATTTTTTCTTCAAGCATCTGCAACGTGGATGTTAATGTCTCCATATATTAGTCCTACAGTTAACAGTCTTATTAGAAATCCTCCTTACAACAAGTGTAGAAAAGCACTTAGTAATGACTAACTGCTAACAAGGTTTCCATTAACAAGGGCAGCTGCATCACAGAACAAAGAATATGTCAATACGACTTGAATTATTATGAGTAAATCCATTCCTCCTGACCCCAAGGCCACGTATAATTGTTGCTCTGTTGGCACAAATCGCTCTTCGATTAAAAGAGACCATTAAGCTTGTCTCAACAGTGGAAAAATCTCCTTAGTTGATGCCCACAGTGTGAACCAAGAGTTCATCTCTTTCTGTTCTTGTTGTGCTTCACCATCTTCTTCCTCTTCAGGATCATCTCATGCAGTTTCTCCAGGCCCAGCTGGAGTCCCTGACCGTCCACAGCACTGCAGCTCTGCACGTGATGCAGCGTGTACATGCTCAGTTCATGCACAGAAAGCTGCTTCTCCACCTCGCTGACTGACAAGGCAGAATTCAGGTCCTGTTTGTTGGCAAGGATGAGCACAGGGACCCCCTGGTTCTCTGAGGTGCGAGTGATCTTATGGAGCTCCACTTTGGCCTCCTCCATGCGCTCCACCTCTGTAGAGTCCACCACGAACACCAACCCATCTGTCCGCCGGGTGTAAGACTTCCACAGCGGACGCAGCTTCTCCTGCCCTCCCACATCCCACACCTGGAAGTTTATGGACCGGGATGTTCCCACCGCCACCTTAATCTTCTCCGTGTTGAATCCCTTGGTTGGGATTGTTTTCACAAACTCCTTCAGTTTGAGCCTGTAGAGCAGAGAGGTTTTACCGGCTGAGTCAAGCCCAATAACCACCACGTGCAGACTCTGGAAGTTTGGCAGGAACGACATGTTAGAAGCAATATCAGTCAGCTGGTTCCCCATGATTCCAGCCAGCAATTCACACCTACTTAGGTGAAGTGACAGATTCCTCTTTTAGTCCTTTTGAAGATTTTGGAGACCTTATCAAACACACAGGAGAGACTAGGTTAACATTTAATGAAGTGAAAACATGCTAAGGAAAGTGTTGACTGAGAAATAAAGAAAAAACACAACATCCCAGCCTGAGGTGTTCAGATTTATCCTCAGTTGACTGAATTAAAACTTCCATTTTCTTTTGATTATATAAAATAATACATGTCTTTAGGTTTCAGTGCCACATTACAGAGACAAACAACAGTTCAGGGGTGTCTGTGGTTATCTAGGTTCTTATTTGCTAAATCTAATCCTCTTAAGACCGCTAAAGATAAAAGCCTTATATTGTTATATTGGGGCAGATTGATTTCAGTGCAGTGGATGGATAACATACATTCACTGGGTCATGGCCAACTGTAATAATCCGGATGTTGTTGACATTCTGATACAGCTGCCAATGGACAGATTACTGCTACATGTTTACATATAGGTATTATTTATTTATGGCACCAAACATAATTCTACATCATCTAAGAAAGCGATTCAACAACTACCCCGTTATGAATCGATGTTTCATTACTTGATTGCATTTGAAAATTCACCTTAGTCTTCCTTCCCTCCGGCAAGAAACCTCTCCATCTACCAGATCTACTGTGTGATTTTAGCATTGTACTAAATTGAAGAACTTCTACCGATACAGCCTGTAGGATGGTCGCAACCAAATTAAACGGCACTACTAAAATAATACAAATGCATTCAGTTCACGCAGCCTGAATGAAATCACAATGAGAGCGTCCTCCTCCGTGCACAAACAAAAGCCTTCATACCTTCTAAGTGCGCGGTGAAATCCTCATCATCCACAAGCGATACACACATCCATATCTGCGCTGTCACATTCTGCTCCGCTCCTGCAGCACTGGGGGAGACTCGAGCGCCTAAACCCCCCGGTGACGTCACGTTCACCTGGAAGGAGACGCCACGCCTCCTTCTGGTGCAGCAGTGAACTGCATGTGGTTGCTGCTGAGCAATCTGCAGCGCAGAATAACCTGCATTTTAGTGTTTTACTGAGCTGGTGATACTTCTGCAGATTGATTGAACTCATGTAGATCTGATCAATCAATAAAATGTATCCTTGTTAAATGTTATCTGATTATAATACTGGATTATTATATTTTTATATGGACTAATTTTGTAAAGAAAGTACAAATGTGGCATCTCAAACCGGAGCAAATAAAACTCATATGTATGGTCAGATACTACTAAATGTAAGTGAGGACCAACAGAATGTTTAGATGTAATCACACAAGTTAAAGCTACAGTATGCAACTTAAGCATAAAACCACCCAGGACTATCTCCCTGCTCCACTATGCTCTACTGTCATCTGCTGCGCTCCACCACACTCTGCCCAGCTCTAAAGATATTTGTCCTTATGAAATTACAAGAAATGAGAATGCAGCAAAACTCACTGATCAAGTACAAATAACTGCAAATCCCGCTGAAAACCTTTTAGAAGCTAATATCTCTGCACTGCTGCCAGTGATGTTCAATGGGTCACAGGAGGCGATGACAGCACCTCTCCACATTCATACACGTATTGGAGCAGATTTCTACAGCAAAAATATTTGAAAAAGCTACATACTGTAGTTTTAGCCTTACTCCAGTCAGCAGAAAAAGGCTCTGCTACTGGACACCTGAGGGGAATTGCAGTAATTATTAATTCATTACTATCATAACACAAGGACAATAACTTAGCATAGAGGATACTATATACTGTGCTAATTGAAAGATTGTCAAACAGTGTATAAAATGTACCAGTAAACTCCCTGAAAATACATTTAACACAACCTTAAATGCTACAGTTTAATAAAGTGCAACATTGCAAAACTGATGTTTACATTTACATTCAGTTCTCACATTTTGCATTTCTGAAATTGTGCCTGTTTCACATAATTCTATGAGACCAGTTACCTGTAATACATTTTTAAATTAGAACCTCAAGGTGACTGATCAGTCATAAGGTATGTTAAAACAACATACAGAATAGATGCATTTTCACCAGTTATCAATCACCCATTTACATCTCGTACAAGAGATAAGACCATAGTATGACACAGGCAGAGCATTCTTTATGTCACACTGATGCTTTGGTGTTTTTCATTTCAATTTCATCACCACACAGGATGTGGGACTGTTGAGTTGGCGCCACAGTCAATAAACTCATAAGTGTCCAGAGAGAGCTGCTCCGTGTGAGAGAGATAGGAAATATTCATGGTCATTCTGGGGAATAAAGAAAACTGTATGAGAGGCAGAAGGTGCCAGAACATGCACAATAGGGTTTTAAAGATGCAATCATCAATAATTCAGATAACTGTGTAATAGAGTCACCGCACAGCAGCTAAATAGTTTGCCAAAAAAAATCTAGAGAGTGTTTTTTGGTTTGGTTTTCTGACTCTCAAACTGTAATCTCATCACATTGTTTCTAGCAGACGGCTGTTTACAGCAACAACAAAACAAAAAGCTCTGATAATCCCATTGTACACTGCCTTCTCAACACGAAACAGCAAACTGACAGGGTAAATCCCAATTCCCTTACATGATTATCCCTTGCTCCAGTCTGTCATATTGAATGACGTCCCAAAGCTCTTTTTTCTGCTCGGAGGACAGAGGAGGCTGCCTGGAGGAACTATAACCGAGGATCCTTCATAGATGTTTCTTACAAATCGACACGCCCCTTCACAGGAAATCTATCCGTGATTGGATACTTCACATAAAGGATGTTTTATGTCAGTTAAAATGTGTTTCCTCAGTTCCTCTGACAAGGAAAAGTGACAAGGACAAGGTATGTGAAGGGAAATGTGAACACAAATAAGGGAATTGGGATTTACCCATAGTTATCAAATAGCTGGTGAACATAAAGTACAGAGTACAGCAAAGTCAGAACATGGCAAATACTGTAATGTATTCTTTGCAATGTAAAAGCAGGAAACTATATTGTGGCTGGTTTGCGCTATGTAGGTTCAAGACAGTCTGATGTAAATAATCATCTGTTTACTAAAGCTTCTGGTCAGTTAAACAGCGCAACACACACACACACACCGTCAGTTCTGATATTAATAAGTACTTTGCTTTGAACAAAAGCATCTGAGTTGATGTAAAACTTCGTTCAGTAGGTGAGCTGGCAGCAAAAACCTTAGCCTGGCCAGTCTCAGGTAAGGTTTGCTGTCATTTATTTGCATCTTGAGTTCAAATGTGACCCACTGGAGGAAGTTCTTTTGAGGCACAGAGCAGCAGGTTGAAACCAAAAGTGTTTTCTTTGCATTAGTAGAAAGCAGGCATGAAAACAAAAAAGCCAGTGGCTTTATGTGGTTATAATCTATTTTTGTTCACTGAATTCTAAAAGCAGAACTGAACCGTTGCATGTCTGTATTATCATGTCTTTTTACGGTGTGTTAAAGGAAGATTTCAGTTTTAAAGACACGAGGAGTAAGACCCATTTCTTAATACAAGCTCTTCTCTGATTGTGGTTTATAACGCTGCACTGCACACGGTGATGCCTTTAACACCTTGTGGGTTTGTGACACTTACTGCAGCTCCACATACAGCGTGTGAATCTTGATAGAGCTCGACTTGCAGTAAATGCTGAAAGAGATGAAGCAGATGACGTGTGGACTGTTGCTGAACGCAGACATGTGAGCAGTAATGATGGACCAGCAGTATCTCTTATAGAAACTGATGTGTTCAGATTTATGTTAATCTTACTTTAAACCTGGATCAGTAATAGTCAGGTCACTCTGAATGGTGTACTGCAAAAGTTAAAGACAGACACATAAGTATATATTTGCATTATACTGTATCTTGATGTGAATCACCTTGAAAAACTCACCGACTTCTGTGAGCGGGACCGGATGGCCGTCATGTTGGTGATCTTGGTCTTACCCTCGACTACGTGAAGCATCAGCCACTGAATGTCAAACTCGACAATCTGAACCGGGACAAAATTCTCATTGGAGATGTTGATGAGATTCTAGAGGAGGAAACACAGCCGGTCAGGTGCAACCTACACACCTAACTATCATTACAGAGTCTCAGGGACCTTTGTCCTGCACACAGCCACAGTCTGTCATGTGAATGCAGTTCAGAAGGTTCCTGCGGCTTTGACGCGTACAATAAAAAGACTGTGGTTCAGTCAGTTCACACAGAGCAGTGGAAATCACTTAAAACTCAGTGCATGTAAATGTACTATATTTGAATTGGCAGATTGGTTTCGTAGGGGTGAATAATGTACTGCAGCTTATTTGGTTGCTGCATGTCACCATACAATCCCTGCACATCTCGCTGACTAATGTGATTTGGATTCAGATTTACATGAAACTGGGTGCACTCTTGAGCGTTCCTGTGACTTACCGTGACCTTCATTTCAACTGTGGTGGGGGTGAAGTAGACCATGACCGACAGCACAGACGCAGGCGTCAGGGTGACACTCCGGGGGAATAAGAAGAAGAGGATCAGACAGCAAATGAAGAGACATGCAGCCATGGAGGCACACACGTACAGTTTCCTGAAAAGCAAAACAAGCATACAAAATTGTTCATACTAAATAAATAACAATAACAAACACATTCATGTGCATGTGAAGACAAAAACATGCTCAGACTAATGTTGCATAAAAAAACATTTCAGTGTCTTGTTCCTATATTTAAGCAGTGCACATCTGAACATACGTAGATGTGGTCCTGTTGCTCACAATTTCAAAACTACTGCTCGTGCATGCACACACACACACACACACACACACACACACACACACAAACAAACATAACCTCATTACATGCAAATGTCCTACAATGAAAAAGTCACTTATAAAATATTGATAGCAAATTCTATTTAGCTGTCAAGAGTAAAACAGTCACAATATTTATTATATGTAATATTACTGGATCATTGTTATTGATGCTTTCATTTCTATGTTGTGGTTTGCTGTTGTACTTGGAGGAGGCGGAGCTAATTTGAACTATATATTCAGCTAAGTAGTTTAGCACTGCATCATATTTTATCATCATTTGAAAAAGTAGCTAAAGTTGTCAAATTAATGCAGGGGAGCAAATAAAACAGTATTCCCTTCTGAAATTTAAAATAATTAAGAATATGATATTTGTAAATAAGTACAGCACTTAGAGTAAGTAAATGTACTTAGTCACTTTCCATCACTACACACACATATTCCTTACGTGCGTCTGGGCTTCAGCCTCACATCGTTGCACAGTATCACAGCGACAAGCTGGTCTTCGTGACCTGCAAATACAAAAGAGAGAAGGAAATAGCTGCGTCCTACCAGCGATGATTTTACCACAAAGATGATGTGAAAGTGGCCAAACAGAGTCAACTGCACACACACTGTTGTCATCTTTCAGTTGAGCCTAGTTCAACTATTGTTGGCACAAAACAGCTAAGAGGACAAGGAAGGTGTGACATGGTCTCAGTTAACAAATGGAAGCTCAAAGGTTGAATTCAATTTATAAACTAAAAGAGAAAAACCATGAATATGCTACAGTCATAATCACCCACAATGTGTCACACACACATTTGCAAACAGATTTTTCGTGGCAGAAAACCAACCTCTGGGAAGTTTTCCGGTGCCGTGACAGGTGGGGCAGGTGTCTCCTGCTGAGTGTTCGTTTCTGGAACCATACAGAGGAAACTGCCTCAGTGTCCTCACCTTCTCCATCCCTTCTGTCAGATCCCGGCCCTCTCCGATTTCACCGCTTCTCCCAATTGTAACCATGACACTTTACTCAAAGAGAACGTCTAAAGAAGAGAAACAAGAGACACAAGTGACTAGAAAATGCACCTGAAACTCACGACTCATTCAGAGAATGTAAACCCGATGCAGTGGTCCCATTTTTGTCGTCCTTCCTCAGATGATCTGGTGATAGAGACCGTCACAGTCACATCCATCACTTCTCACAAACCTTTAAATGACCAATAAAAGCTCCCTCTTGTGGCCCACGCCAGGCCGTGAGCAGTCACGTTACTTTATGGTTCTTTATCTGGCATGACAAGTGTGTGACAACTGTTGTGAAAGCTAGAAAAGTGATGCTTGTTGTAGATTTTCTCAAACTGCAGGAGTCATTTCCTCACTTTCAGATTATCTAAGCAACACTGAAAATCAGTTCTTAAACTTAGAGCTACAGTAGGCAGGTTTTTTTTTTTTTTTTAATATTTTTGTTGCAGAAATCTGCTCCAAAACTTGTCTTGATGTGAAGAGGAGCTGCTGAAGCTTCCCGTGACCCAGACTAGCAGCAGTGCATGGCTTTTATGAGTCAAAAGTCATTCCACACTGACCCATCTCCTGTTGACAGAAGGAGTTTGACCTGCAGTGTCATACAACCATACAGTAATGAGCTATTCCTGGTTATCTACAGTATTGAATAACTGAATCCTTCTGCTTTTACAGTGACATCTGCTGCACAAACTGTGTGAAACCTGAACTAGAGCTGTTTTAAAACATGTTGAGTGAATTTTACCATCACCTAGAAACAAATCTGGTTATTAATCGATCAGTTTGTTTTGCGCTTTGTCATCTACACCTACGCTCAATACAAGGACATAAACACAATAAATGCATGTCTCCCATTCATGCAGGCAAATCAGCTGTGACAGGTTAATTCTGAAAGTTGATCTCAACAAATACCCACACCTTCTAAGAGGAAACTAAACTGGTTTGTTGGTTAGATATTCTATTTAAAGACTTCCTGCTTTTTCAACCCATGTTTCTATTTAACAAATTTTTAATTATGAAAAACGGTGACTTCTCTGCCTTTTTTCCATCCAAACAACAATAATTAGCCAATGTCCAGCTTAAAACCCTTTATTCCCACCAAATTTCTGGTGTACAATTTGTGAAAAGAGCAGATAAAACAGTGATTCAGATCTGTACCTGGTCTGATGCAAAGTGAATTTTTTCTGTTTTCACAAATAAAGAAAACTTGAATGTTTGAACTCTTTAGCTTCTCTAGGTTAAGTAACGAAACTTAAAATTCCACTACTTTCTCCTCAATGGCAACTGGGGTGTTTTTAACATCACTCGGAGTAGACTTACTCAGGCATTTTGAGGCTTTTAAGACTTGTGCTGATGCTAAACGCAGTAAAATATGGCCTGTCGTCAATACATATGGGGGCGAGCCCCCTGCACTGGCTCAGCTGGCAGCAGATGAACAGATGCTTCTTGCGCACTTACCTCTTGGTGCGACCCCACTTTACACCTCAAATATCAGCCAGTGCGAAGACGCAAAACTCCACACCGCTGCCTTTTACAATCCACGTTTTAAAAGCTGCCGAGAAACTAGACTTAAAGTCCCTGAATAAAAACAAACCCAGGGGGAGGAACACTTCCTTCTTCTGAGCACGACAGGTCCGTGACTGCCGCCTGATCACATGGGCTGCTTTTTATGAACTTTCCTCTCTTTGGCAACGTTGGAACACATGCTCAGGAAACATAAACCACCAAAACTGACATTTATCTGCATGGGAAACATGACAGGTAAATCTCATTTCAGATGCAAGTTCAGCATGGCCGGATTAATCTGTTCTGGGGCCGTTGGGGTGGGGCATATCTTTTGGCACCAACCCCTCACCTTGGGTTAAACACATTTCCCTCACTTGCGTTCTTTTCGTGGTGACATAGTCCCGTAAGACGCTAGGAAAAGATGCAAGAAGACCTTTACACAGCGTAAATACCAATTCCCATATTTGATCTTATTCTTATTTTAACACTTGAAGACATTCTGGTTGAGCAAGGATTGAGGATGCCCCAAAGTTCTTATATCAGAGGACTGAGGAGACAGGAGTGAGGATGCTTGCAGCATCTTTCATCTCTCCTCACATTTTTTTTTTACCTGGAAAGCAAGGACAAGATGCAAGTGAGTAAAATGTGGATGCAATTAAGGGAATTGAGATTTATCCACAGATGTGAGATGTCCTTTCTTCTGATCCTTCATCTGATCTGTTCCATTACCAACTGATTTTTCAGATCAAGGGGCGTGTTGGTCCATAAGACTAATGCAAAAAAAAAAAAAAAACGGTCTCTTGTATCCTTGCTCATGCCTCCTCTCCTCGTTCCTTAGAGCAGGAATAATCTTTCCTTCAAGATGGCTGACCAAAATTACTTCTGGATCAAGCGAGAAACAAGAAATGATAATATTATACAACTGGGATTTACCAAATACATTATTCCTGAACACCAAGAAGCACCACTAGTTTCAGCAAATCACGTGGATGGATTCAAGTACGACAATCTCTAGTGGGCATACTATAAAAATTAAGACTGTCTGGAGCAAAGGAGGAAAATACTGTGATGTACAGAGGGGAACAGATTAAAAGTAACACCTGCAAAAGTGAGAAGCTCTATGGGTGAAATAAACATCAGAAGAAAGATGTGCAAGTAGTTTATTGGCGGACTGACAGTAGAAGGGTATTTAATGTGCACACTCTGTGGCAGAGGAACAATTTGACGAGCAGAGTAGATATATTCAGAGCATGATTTCTTAAAACATGGACAATCATCAACGTAATATGGTTGCTGACACATCAACCACACACATAGAGGAAGAATTCAACAAAATGAAGACACACATTTACTTCAACCTACACACACCTCCAACAATCTCAAATTATCTTGTGTATTTCAATAAAATCATCTGTCATAAAGGCAATGTAATGAACAAAACATAGTTCCACTCAGAGACTGAGGAATGTGTTGTTAGAGGATTGCTGCTAAGTTCTTAGTTGTCAGTTGAACGAGTACACGTGAAAATGCAGGTGAGGGTGTTAAGACGACGCAAAGCGGACGTTTTCCACTGCGACTGTGCTAAGACCACAAGAACGCGACTCATCTCTAAAGCCTCTACTGTTGTGCAGATGTCCTCTAATAAGCAGTAGAAAACATCAGTCTGAACAGCGGTCTGTTCTGTGTACATTCCACATGTCAACATCTAAAATAACAGTACTCTGACACAGAAATAAATTGCACTGAGTAGGCAGATTTCACTACAATAAATCAGAAAGTTTGTAGCTCCTACTACTGCACTGCTGACCCTGAACACCCAGAATATCCATGTAGCATCGTATTAAATGACAGCTGGCTTTTCAGAACATTTCCATCTTATATGACTTTCAACAATATTAATTTTCACTGCTCTATCTGTGAGAAGAATCGAGCTGAGCCTTGTCAAAAGAAACCCCCGAGGAAGTGGCTCCAAACACCACGATGAAAAGCTGAAATACACACTTCTGCCCTGTCAAAACTACATCTCCTGCTTCTTCTGACCACCACAAGTAAACATGGCATGGCAATAATGATTCACAAGTGTGTATATATGGTTAATTTCACCAGATTGCTGAAGCTAAATTAAAGGCAAAGGCAGGAGAATTTCTCTCCAATCAACTGTGTTCAAGACAAATACTCCTATTTCATTGTTCTGTTTTTTTCTTACATATATTTTAGTGACACTGTCCTACTGGTCCATATAAACTATCCACCCTTTGAAAAATCAGTTGCATGAATCATAAATAGGTCTTTGCATCTACTTCAGTTAACTCAAAATAAATCAAGACACTGGAACTGCTGAGCCGAACACAGGTCAGAATCAAAGTATTCTCTATGCATTATGTTTAAAAGTCAAACTTCGTGCTGGGACTCTTTGCAGCCTCACAGGTGTGTTCACAGCTTTCCCTCCCTCAGTGATGAGGGTGGACAGCTTTCTTCTGGCTGTCTTCGGCCATCTGCACCAGCTCGTTGACGGTGTGCAGCAGGCTGTAGCTGTGCTTCCTCAGCAGCCGCTGGTTGAGCCGTTGGTCTCTGAAGCCCATCTCCAGCAGCATGGCCATCAGGGAGGGGTCCTGTCTGGTGGCCGGGTCGATGCCTCGCTGGACGGGAGGAGGACAACGAGTTAAGAGGTGGTGAGATGAGGGCGAATGTTACTGGAGCTGAATCTGTCTCAAGACTAGAAATGCACCGATTGCAATTTTCTTGGCCGATTTCGATTTTTTTAGTCTGACCTGTCGATTCCAATTTCATTCTACTGCACGGTTGCACATGCTACACTTTTGGTCTGGGTCACTGTGTGCATGAGTGTCATGCCTCTAAATCTGAGCAGCACAGAAACGGAAATCTAAGTGATCGGCCGGTCGCTGGTTAAGGCCGATCACGTTGAAAACCGGCCATTTCCAATCTCCGCCTGCTGACCAGCGCATCTCTACTTAAGACGTTTCTGTTCTGATGGGTTGGTGCATAGTTTCACTGTTCTCAGGTGCCTACACTTGACACTGACTATCTGTCATTGACTCTTTGTTGTGTGATGTACCTGTACTGAGCAGTTTGGTCCAGTGAAGAGAGCCTTATACGCGGACGCTGCCACAGAAAGCGCCCCCTTGACAAGTCCCTCAGTGATGCCTCCTTGGCCCCTGATGCAAACACAGTGCTGTGGTTACACTGGGACATATATCTCAGTATTACATGGAACTATGTTTTTCAGTTTGCTTCATTTTCACAAAAAAACAAATGAAAACATCTGAAGACACCACTTCAGGATCCTGTCACTGATTATACAGAGTCATTCTTTGTTAAAGTTTATGAGATCAAAAAAAGATGAAGGCTGATAAATGCACTATTCTACTGTGTTGCACCTTGGCTGCAGTGCGTTGCTGGGTCTGGGGTTGTATGTCTCAAAGGCACTGGATGCTGAGCCTGCTGATCTGGACAGACCAGATGATACTGCCGAACAGATAAAGAAGAAAATAACAACACATGCAAACACACATAATATGAGAGCAGCGCCTTCTGCTGAAGCAACTAATCCTGAAAGTGTGAATGCTGTCTTACTTCCTGGTTTGGCCACAAAGGGCAAAAATGTACCACAACAATAATGCTGACAGAGAAACTCACCATTTAGATGGACCCTCGGCTGGTGTGGCTCATATGGTTCACAGGCTGGGGGACTTGGGTCCTCAGCCAGGTACAGTGCCTCAGACCTGAAACACACAATAAATAAACAAGAGTTAAAACATGAGCAGTTGTAGAATATTTAATAAACTAGATAGATGCTATATTGGTATTTGTTAAAAACCAAGTGAAAAATATCCATAATGAAAAATCCTGTTAAAAAAAGTCTAAACCTCTGTTGTTTCAATGTTTTTGATTTGTTTTCAAAAGGAAATATCTTCTCATTCTTATGAACTCACAATATTTTATTATAAAAATGACATAAAACCCTCAAACTAAAGAATGAACACAAAACACACATATCTGTAATGGCTCTATCTGTTTTCAGACATGGACAACAACATATTTCTGACCTACACAGGGTCTGAGCCTCCAGCTAACCTGGGCGAGTAGAGGGTTGGTGGTGGCGCCGGGGGGGCCGGCAGGACTGGTGGTTGCACCACTTCAGGAATGAGCGTCACAGCATCCAGGTTTTGGGAGGCGCACAGCATCTGGTTCACACTGCTGTGGATGGGAGGGACAGGTGAAAGCCACGTGTTGACAGGAGACTCCTCTGCAGCGACCGCCTCTATCTGCTCCTGTCTCTCTCTCTGAGGTACCGCCCCGCCTGGCTCGGACTCATATTGTTCCTCCTGCTGTAGGTCTTGGTCGGCCGGGGTCACAGCAGCACCAGTGTCTGGCTGAGACACAGCGGAGCTGTACATGGACTCCCCCAGAGGACGGCTGGTGTCAAAGCAGTCTGGGAGGACGATGATGTAATCATCACTGGAGGAGACTGATGAGGTCTGGCTGCTCACCTGAGATGGGGTGGGGGTGGGTGGTGGAGGATGGACAATTTCTTCAAATATACCACCTACGGCTGCACGGTAATTGTTTTGTTAACATGATTTAGACACGGCAGAGTCGTCGTCACATGAGACCGAGATCACACAGGGATTTAAATCACACTCATAAAACGATTTATCGTGCAGCCCTACTACCACCCTGAGTGTATCTGTCATATTATGAAACTGAACTCACTGAATAAGCTACAGGTAAAACAAATCACAGTATCTCATGTCAGCTCCTGTGCATGGTGTTGTCTTCCCTTTAAGAATGAAAATCACTTAAGATCCACTTTGTGCTTGTGTAAAAAGGTTGAAATCTCACGTCATCCCAGTCTTCTCCTTTTTGTCCAAGTTCTGCTTTCTCTTTCAAGACCACGACCTCTTCGTCCTCATGACCAGGATGTGAAATGGTGTGCAGGTTTTCATCCACTGGCTCCAGCAGAAGAACTTAAATTAAAAAAGAAAAACCCAGTGACATATTGCAGTTGAGACTCCGTTAATGAATTACTATGAAGATAAGACCTGGAACCGTGATCACAAATGTTTTACGATATTCAAAGAAGTGCTTGTGGTTTTTAAATGTTTCCAGGTACTCACAGAGAAAGACAACACAAAAAATGAATGAGACCAAATTTACGACATATCAGAGGCACAATAAACAGAATCCTCCAGGTTGATATCTAACCTGGCCTTGTCGCCTCCTCCTGGGTGATCTGGTTGAGACCTGTGCTGGGAGGCACAGCTAAACTCTTGAGTCTGAGAACACCGAGCTGCTCAGTTGCTTCTTGTGCCCCAACTGTCTTCTCAGCCTCCGCTGCTCTCTCGAGACAAGAGCTGGGACACCGTGAAACAACTGAAACATTTTACAAAAGAAAATAAAAACAAGGTCTGAGTGTGCACGATGGCTCTAAATAAAAATCAAATGTACTGTTTGCTAGATGATTCTGTAAGAGGTCCAAAGGAGGAACAGAGGCTCCTCACCCTGTGGTTTGTGCGGGGCTCTGCGCAGAGGTCTGTGGTCGGGGGCTTCCTCCAAGGCGAGCGAGCGGATCACCGTCTCACAGAGGAACTGAGCACCACTGATCTCCTCCTCCCTCTCCTCCTCTGGAGCCACAGGCGCCAACAGCTCCCTCTGCTGATGCAGATTCATTCCTGATTAAAATATAGGACAGATGGCTCAGCATTTCTTCACGCCACACACAAATCTATATTTTGCATCTGTTGACTGAGTTTTTTTTTTTTTTAAACTTAAGTTGCATTTACACACACCACGAAGCCTTCTAATGCTCAAGTAATCTTACCAAAAAGTTTCCTGACCCCTGTGACTTCTGTGACTTCTTTTATCTGCGAAGTGGTGCCTTTCTCCAGCACTGGTGCATCATGGGGCAGGGGGGATATGCAGGGTGTCAAATCTACACATTAGGCAGAGCAAACAACGCAGTTTACATACTCAAGTGTTAATGTTCAAATAAAAAATTATTGCACGTGCAAGATAGTTCTTAGACAAAATAAGGTTTGGAAAGAGTTTTTTTTCTGTCAAAGTCAATGAGATTTTGGAAGAAGGGAAGGAAGGACATTACCAAGCAGACAAGATTAACTGTCTCAATAGTGTTTAAAGCAGCACACTTTGCTTACCCACAGGAGTGTTGTTAGGAACTTTCTCCAGCTCCTGCACAATATTTATATCCAGCAACTCAAATGACAGCAAATCCTAAAAACAAAGCAGAGTCCAAAATAAAGTATTTCACACCATTTTCACCGTTTTGTTGAAATGTACCATGTAGTCTGTTTTCAACGTCAAGCAGTACAAAAGCAGAATTGACAGAAGCTACTTTAAATCACGATTTTGGTCACTGGATGACCGAGCTTCGAGAGGGCACCTGTGCGGTCAGCAGCTCGACTGAGGGGAAGTAGTAGTCATCATGGGTGTCGTCTACAGACAAGTCAGCGCAGCGGCAGTCCTTGGACCTCACATGCTCATTCTGAAGCACAAACAACAGCAGCATCAGTATTATTATTAAAATAAGATTGGGAGATTTCCCACTTCAAATTACTACTACCGGGATTTAAGATATCTGAGGTGACCTGTTATCCAAACACTACCGAAGTAGATACTCGTGTTCTACTACTTTTTAAATCGAGATTCTGACCTTACTCTGGATTTATGCAGCTTCTGACCTAATCTCAAAGAGCCCTGTGTATCCAGACTGTGACAACAAACAGCAAAAAGAACAGGATAAAAAAGACATACACAGTTTTTAAGGAGAGTGTCCAGAGATTCCAGTGTTGTCTGTTTTTATACAAAAACCACTTGTTGATAACATTGTTCTATTATCCTGGAAACCGGGCTAACACATACTGCAGTGACAGAAAGACCTACAGATCTCAGTGTACCATCTTATACTGCCATGTTCATAACTAACTTTACTGCTGCAACTAATCATTATTTTCATTATCGATAAACCTGTTAGTTTTTGATTAATAGCCGAGTGTACAAAATGTTGGACAACTACAAAAATGCACATCACAATTTCCTAAAGCCCAAGCTGTCATCTTACACAGCAGCAGCAAATCTTCACATTTTAGACCAAGAACCAGGGAGTGCTCAGGATTTGTCCTTGAAAAATGATTAACAATTAATCAATTAAAAACGAAATTGCTGCTGCTGAGTTTTCCATCAATCAGCTAATCAATAATCAAAGAATCATTTCATCCCTATAATTTAGATACATCTTTGAATAATGGGTCTTGAATAATGACATGGGCAGTACTGTGCAAAAGTTTCAGGAACTTAGATATTTAGATTCTTATTGATCACACATTATGGCCAAGGAGGCGTCCGACTGGTCCAGAATTAATTCTGCAGCACAACAATGAGCCCAAACATCCAGCCAGAGTCCTGAAGAACTATGTTCAGAGACAGATGGTGTGGCTGCCAGAGAGGCGACTGATCTCAACATCATGGAGTCAGTCTGGGGCTACATGAAGAGACAGAAGACACTGGGACAGCCTGAACCCGCAGAGCATCAGTGGCAGCTTATCTGAGATGCTGGAACAACTTTCCTGCCAAATACATAGAAACACTGTGCAAGAGTCTCCCTAGGAAAACGTACTTGTTAAGGGGGGCTTAAAAGCGAATACTGGCTTGAGTTTTACATTTACTGCACTTTTTTTTACATTAACTGTTAAATAAAACCAATCACACCATCATTTTTGAAAGTGTCGCTCTTTGGTTTTAGTGTCTTAAACTTGTGCACAGTACTGAACATGGAGCTGCACAGAGTGTCACTGGTTTGCAGACTTGCCAGTCGTTTGCTCTGGTGCCCGAGTGTGTTGCGGCTGTCATCGGGGTCAACCACGATGCTGCACCAGATACGCGGGCCAAACTGACACCCGCAGTGTGCCAGCCGCCAGTGGGAGGTGTACGTCCCCTCCATCATAGGAGCGACAAAGGCCACACTGACCACTCCTACTTGCCCGGGCAGCAGCAAGGGCGCCGGCACCTCCCTCTTCTCTGATGCCAGGTCGAGGTTTCCCCACATGAACACTAGCTGTGTGCACGCACACACATACACAAAACACAAATAGGAATACACATGCGAAAAAGCACAAAGACAAGAGCATGCAACCAAAGTCACACAACAGAAAAATACACAGGCTCAAGAGGAACACACACACTCACACTCTATCACTGACAACGACTTAAAAACTTGAAGCACACACATTCAACTGAATTCAAATAATAAACCTCTCAGACAGAAGGACATTAGTTGTATTAGGCTGGGTAAGAAATCTTAGCTGTGTTAGGGGATAAGAAGAATTAATGAGCTGAGTGGGGACTCAAAGTGGAAGTGAAGCTGGGGGGCAAACAGAAAGTGGAGCCTGTCCTCTCGGCAGGTGGGAGGGGGACCTTAGTCTCTGAGGTCCAGCTGATAGTGCCCGAGTTCCTCATCTTCCAGTATTTGACGAACTTGGTATCAGGCTCCAGACGGGTGCCGTCAGGCAGATTTTCATCCAGAAACAAGGCAGCCATAGTGGGCACCAAGGACGTGTGTGAGACCCCGGGACCCCTAGTTTCAAGTGTACAGAGCATTGTTGAAAATAGCCCTGGTTTCTTATAATACCCATCTCTTTTGCTCTCTACGAATCAAAAAAGCAGGACCCCAGATTTTTTTGCAGCTCAAAAGCATTTTTCTTAGAAAATCTATGAAGCAGCAGCAGTTTTCACACTGAGGTAGTTCCAACATTTTCCACCACCCCAGAGCAGCCAGCGATACACTCATACAGACTAGATTTACAAAGATGGCATATTTTGATTTGCTTTCTTGGAAAAAAAGACTTTTTTGCATCCATGCTGGGTTCGAGGTACCCAGCACTGTCGGACGCCCTCCGAGGTGGCGCTTACTCTGGACTGGAGGTCTGGGGATCAGGGGCCGGGGCAGAGACGGGACCTTGGGCTGGGGCTGGACCTGAGGCTGTTTCTGAGGCAGCAGGGAGGGGCAGGGCTGGGACCTGGGTGGACGCGGAGGCCATGTTTGTCAGGGTGGCTCTGCCTGAGGTAGAGGGCCCGCTCCACTGTTGCCCCCTCTTCTCCAGTCTCAGTTTCTTCTTGATTTCTTTCACTTCGGCTCTTAGCTGCCTCCTTTCTGCTTTGAGGCGCTGTCGCTCGGCCTTGCGTACTGTCCTGTCTCCTCGCCTTGGGAACCTGGTTTGAAATGTCATCAGGAACACCTATTTGTTGACTATCAAATGTTTATTTTCCAAGAACAAAACACACTGAAATTGATGATTACAGTCATAGCTGCTAAAACACTTTGTAATTTATATTTTTGTTTTTCCTCCAGTAAGGTAGAAGAAGCGATGGCACTGTTGTAAGTAAAAACAACTAGTTGTCCCAAGAAGAAGGAAGTCTTATCCTCAGTCTTGGGGGTTTACCTTAACTCTCCTGACATGCCATGTTCCGGGATGGAGAGAGGTGTCTTGGTTCTCACAAGGCTGTGGCTAGGGTCATGGCTATGTCTGCACATCTCACACAGGATGCAGGACGGGCACACACTGGCAGGGAAATACCACCGAGAATGTCAATATGGACACTCATAAAGCTGTTACAAAGCACTGAACACACAGAAAAAAGCAGGTTGTAGACAAAACACATAAAAGGTGTAAAAGACAAACTGATAAAAGCAATTGTGACATGCTCCAAGCATCATCACTGTCAGCATCACATCAGGTGAAGCTCTCTCTGAAACTTGCAAATGTGTGCAAGGTTTAATCAATCAAATTCTGCATTTGGAAGTTTATCTGCCCTCTCTAACACAGTATTACCTCGTATTTTTTTTCCAAGCCTACCTGCACTTGTAGGCCCCTTCAGAGGTGAGTTTATTGCAGCTGCTGCAGTTTGGAGTGTAGCCAAGAGATCCATTCAAGGTGGAGGGGCCCGGCCTAGACCCCATAGGACCGCCACTGGCCCCACTGCCCTCATGGGGCCTATCGGGGGATTTGTGGGTACAACACTGGCCGGAAAAGTCACTGCACATCCTTTCAACTACCTCTTTCACCACCTCGTCCTTAAACTAAGAAATAAAAAGTTCGATTTTTGTTAGAAGAGCAGTCTTTATTTAAAGACTTCAACATGAATCATACATCAGACATAAAAGGTCGAAGGTGATGATGTTACCATGAAACCCTTACCTTCTCCATGTATGATCTGAACCACATGGGAGGGGGCTCATCTTCTGGTTTGGTCCCTTTGTTGTCCTTTACGGCGACCTGTATAAAAATAATTTTTAACTGTGTAAAATATCTCAGATGAGCTTGACTGAAGTAATTAGGCACAAACTGATTTCCTATAATGGTGGTTCCATCAACACCACAAACTGTAAAACACCGCACATGAGACTCTACAAGGAGAAGAAATGAGATGAACAGGAGAATCCATGTGCTTCCTTACAGCTTCTCGCTCTGGGGTGACCTGTGTGCCTTTGTCCACTGTTTTGACCCTTGATGGATAAGGAGGGGCCGGTCGGAGGTCTCCTTTGAGCTCCTTCACCTCTGCCTTCAGCGGACCTCCACAGGCCTGCCCTTTCATCTTGTACACATTCATGTGCAACTGGTTCCCCTGTTTCTCTGCACTCTGTATGGAAAAGAAGTTGCAAACACATGACACTGGAGGCTGACACAAAAATATGTAAAATGCAAATAACACATGACATACTCAACTCAACATACAGTAAAACTATCACTTGCCTTTTTATAAAATAAGCTGTTTAGGATTCAATATGTCAAGACAGCGTAGCGCTGATTAACTTCTTTAATTTGTTCTGTAACTATGTGAAACCTGCTACACTAGAACAAGTGCATATTTGTAATGTGTTTATGTCTTAAATATGGTCACACAGTACTCCTGTCTATATGATGCATGAGGCCCTGTCATATTTTATTATGCACATAGAGAACAGCAGTCAAGTAAGAATTAAAATCCTTTAAGTTCCACATGATCTCTGCACTTATTCCACTGCAATGACTAAGAGTTGTGTTAGGTGCTGTTAAATTGAATCCTGTCTTCACTATTGTATGGAAATCCAACACCAGTGCAGTACCTTCATGGCTTCTTCATACTCATCTGAAACAAAACAAATTGACAATAAGTGGTTTGGACAAAACCCAAAGATGTTCAATCTACATTGATGTAAATCAAAGACATTGGAACAAGGTCACATTTAGCATTTGCACTTGAAAAATTACTCAAACTATTATTAAATTATCTGAATTAGAGCTACAACAAATACATTATTTTCATTATCAATTAATGTGCAAATGATTTTCTCAATGAAACTATTTTGTCAAGAAAATGTATAAAATAAAATAAAAACCCAAGGTGACATCTTCAGAATCTTTTGACCAACCAATCACCTGAACGACATCCAGCTTACTGTCATTTAAGATGAAGAGAAACAGTAAATTCTCACATTTGAGACATTGGAACCACCACGTGTTTGGCAGTTTTACTTGAAAATCAATTAATTTTCCGTTGATTGACTAATATATGAATCAACTAACTGTTGCAGCTCTAATACACAAATATATATATATATACAGTGTAGTTACAGATTTAACCTGTTATTAAAGCCCAATAAACCCACGTTAGTATTTTAACAACCTGCTTCACTTTGAAGGCAGATCACTTCTCATAAAATACAGACACACACACGTTTTTCTCACCTTGACTGTTAATGCAAATCTGAAATAAGGAGTGAATGAGATCAGAATAAATCCATGAACATACGCCCAAACAAAACATTATTATTGTGCAATGAATGTAAAACACTACAGCAGTGCAAACATTGATATATGTTCTACCTCTTCATTGTCCTCATCAAAGTATTTGACTTGAAAGTGGTTGATCCCGAATGATGCTTTGATCTGAAATATAATTTAAAAGCACACGTAGCAAACATCACGTTATGACATCTATACTTCTTTCTCAACCATGAAAACAATAAATGGCAGAGATAAGTGACGTTACCCCTACAGCTAATTAGCTACTGCGCTGTGTTTACAAATGCAGTAAAGTAAACCGAGCAGATTCGCCTTTTCTTGCAAACTTTATAATATTCCGGCTGGCTTAATAATAACCACCTCTGTACACATTTCGTAAAACATTACGGACTGTCCTTCAAGTCTGTTGTTGACGTGTCTAGGCCAAGCCCGGGCCTGCTTTTCACCAAACTGCGCCAGCGTTGAGCCAGCACACTTAGCTAGCATCTTACCCAGGCTTCAACGGACTCCCACTCCAGTTTGTCCAATTCCTGAGCCAGAAACCTCTTCACATTCCCCCGGAAATTGACTTTAATAGTAACGGGGAGCCCCATGTCAACCGTTTAGCAACAGATAGTGGCTATCACTTGCGGTGACACTGGCCTATTTCATCCCCGTTGCCCTCGATCGTCTCTTGTTTACATCGTCTAGAAAAATACGATGACGTTTCTGCTTCTTCTTCTGCTGGTTTTTGGCGTGTTGGCATCCAGTGACTGTTGCATTAGCGCCCCTTCTGTACAGTCAATACAAACAAACCTACTGTGTGTGTCTAGGATATGTGCATAGAACTCCACAAATCTTTATCCAATAAGCGTTTTTGTAAACATAACCATACCAAAAAAAACTTTTATCAAAAAAGATTTTATTCAGTTGAATCAAAGCCTCAACATAAGGGATGCTGTGACATGAATTTTCACTGAAAATCAATGTCTATGGACCTAAAACGTGCTTAATGTTTATATTTACGACTATAATGTGTAACATTGAGGGAAAAAAAACACCTTGTGTTGCATCTTCTATAAACTGTCCTCCAGAAGATGCATCAATAGTCCAATAACACAAATAAAAAAAAAATAACATTCACTGAAGCAGTGGGTACAAAACAAGCCACAGAATTTTTCTTAATAGCTACAAATGAAGCAATTTCATCAGGATCTGAGGACAAAATGTTTAATTAAAAAATACATAGTTTTTGGTATCTATGATCCATCTCCTAGTTTTCAGAGAACAATTATGTCTTCAAAGTGTTTAAAACAAAAATATTTTACAATTAAAACAAAAGCACAAAGCGTTCTTTCAGTCTATGGAAGCTATGTTGAGTGTTGATTGTATAGACATAGGCGAATGTCTCACTGTAGTCCTGAAGGGACTAGGGCCAGACTACTGCAACTCAACAGGGACTTGGGGGCGGAGACAGCTGGATGATCATCAGTACAAGGCATCAGCATTACTGCTTCGAGGCCTCTTGATCTTCTCAATGTTCTTCAGGATCATGTCATGCAACGTTACCTTAATAAAAAGCAAACAGGAGAATCATTAAACAGCTGTGTTGACTCCAAATAAACCTGAATGGACAGAAGTTAGTAAAAAGATCAGGACATACGTATTGATTTCTGAGCTCCGAAACTATGATCTTCAGACTGATGTATTCCTTCTCATCAATCTCGGTTACTGTGCGCCGATAGTCCTCCTGATGAAACAAAGTTGGAATGACTAGTATTCATTCTACATCTTCACTTGAATATTCAAGCTGACTCATCTCACACAGGGAAAAGAGTGGCTGTTCAATAGTTTTTCATCCAAAACGTCACAGTGGAAAGACAGTTCATTTTTCCATTATATGGGTCTTGTATATCACCTTGTTTACAGTATTGCAATATATCGAAACGTAACCCCTGTATTGTGATACGTATTGTATTGCCAGATTCTTGCCAATACACAGCCCCACACTGATTTACTTACCACATGTGGATATTTTGCAATTTTAGAAACCAGCTTTGCCCTTGTGATGTAATATCTGGAAGTAAAGAAAAAAGAAAATTGGGGCACTGATAGATAAATTTGTTGAACCAAAGTCACAGACAAGTACAAAACAGAAACAACTGCAGCTGCTAAGAGACCTAATTTGGCACCAGTTTTATGTCATCATGTACAGCTAAATAGAATTTCTACAAACCTTGATATCTGGTCGAGGTAAGATGCTGCCTCCCCTTCGACTGTTCTGAGTTCAGCTACTGTTTCTTCCTGGATTGATACTCCAAAGTTGTTGCCATCCTCTATCCTGGGGATGAGCAGCTGAACCCACATTTTGACCTGAGGAATAAAACAAAAGGTGCTCAGAAAAAGGAGAATGCAACAGTTGGTGTACTAGCAGTCAAGTCAAAACATACAGCAATTGTGTGGGAAGGAGCTATCAGCATATGTGATATCTTTCTAGCAACAGTGTTCCACATGCATCATCATATTTGAGCTTGAAAGTGGGAAACAATTGTAAAACAGATAAACACGTGATATTGACAGTTCACCTTTCTGCAATACGTCTCAGTGGATAAGACAAACTTAACATTCAACCTCCTAAATAAAGAGAACTGTTTTCCTCTTAAACCTGAATTGCTTTTCCCACGTTTCATCAGAAAGTCTTCATTAGTTCACACTAATTTCCAGCTGCTGCCCAGCAGTTCATGACTTGACACTGAAACCTGAAAGCAACAGACATTTACAAAGCTAAACTACTACGGTCCGTGGTTAAAGACCTCAGAGACATTACTTACCGTGTTACACTTCTCTATAAGTGTCCTGATCTCTGGCTTGACCTTCTCGATAAGATCAACAAGGTTTGTGTTGCTCTTCATCATCCCACCAGGCATGACGAAGACCTTAGTGCCAGTCACTGTTAGAGAGGAAGAAGAAAAAGAAGGTTAAGAGAATTATGTTTCAAACTAATAGAAGAAAAACAAAACTTGCTCTCATAATATGGACTGACACATTGTCGTGGCATTACTCATATCCAAACACAGGGAGCCTGCTTCAAATATTCTTGACTTTGATACTTAAATACCTACTGTACCTACAAGGTGACCAATATGATTACACTAAATACCTACTGTACCTACAAGGTGACCGATATGATTACACTCACCCATGTCCTCAGCACCTCCATCCTCAAGCTTTCTCTTTTTGGCATTTTGCTGTGAAACGGATAAAACAAAACCAGGCACCAATTCTTACCTCTGCTCTGCATGCAGTAATTATTATAAGCATTCAGGATTTAATTCAAATGGAGGCTCACCGCTTCTAGTCCGTCATGCAGATTTGAGAACAAGATGGGGTCTGGTACCGTCAAGTTTATCTCTGAGTGTATCTCCTTCAGTTCGGTGATGTTTAAGATTGGGTCCTGAGAAACAGCAAAGAATAATAAATGGACTACTTCCTTTCTAACACTGTGTGACTGTATTTAGCTGAATAAACATGTAACTGACCTTAAGGAAGTTATCAAGTTCCAGCAATTTCTTCGGGAAAAAATTTGCAACTAGATCCTCTGCCTGAAAAAAAAAGAAGCTCATTTTCATTATGCTTGAAACAAACTGTTTTGATAACTCTGTGTGTGGTCTTATACTTGTGGGGGCCAAAAATTGGGAGCACACTAGATTCATGAGGATCGGCACCAGAGGCTGGTCCCCACAATGTAGTTTGTCAAATTTTATGAAAACAAAGTGTAAAGTTAGTCCAACTGTCAGCTTTGGTTAGGTATTAGGGCCAGTCTCCTTGAAATTAATCTAAATCTATGTAGGGACTCGGTAACTGCTGAACACAAGGGTGTGTGTGTATATAACAGTCCTCAAACACTTTCTTTTAAAACAAGTTAACCCATACTTACTTCTGCAGTGATACGTTCCCTGAAAGCATCAACCTGCAAATACATAAGAGTCAAAAATCAGACCATGGCCAGATTAACATTTTAAGGGCTTGCACTGACCACCCTCTGAACATGTACCCTGCTGCCACAAAGTTTCCCTAAATCCTGTGCAACTACCTTGCATGTTCTGAAATTACACTTAATGTCTTTTTGTGATAACACTACTTTACTTAGGAATAAAGTAGTGAGCCCAGTTGGTAGTCATTCTTGGCTGAAACACACCATATGCTATAGCTGAACCATAAAACGCAAATTCTTACTCGATAAGGGCACTTACTATGTTTCTTTAGACCTAAAGTGTGTTTACTGTGGCCCAAGTTGCCGCCATGGGTTCAGTGTAAGAGCGGAGCACTATTCTGTAAAACAAAACTATCTGAAATTAACCCTGAGGTGAACGCTATCTTAACGTTACAGCTGTAACGTTAGGTAAGCTGACGCGGTATGACAGCGGCAGCTTATTGAGCTTGCCAACATGCTACCTAAGGCCTTCTTCTGAGCATGTGGCCTATCACAAATAGATGTTATGTATACACACTGCGCTGTACCATAAATGCTCCCTTACTGCTCACAAAGCTTAGCACCCATTGAATGATTTACCATGTGTACTGTAACAGACGGCAAACAAGCCGGCTAGCCACCGCTAGCTATAAGCCTGCCATTAGAGCTCCCACATCATGACACAAAATGTGGCTAGCACGCTAGCAAGCAAATGGCAACAAAACACGTCGTAGAACCCTTAACTGGGGTTTCAAAAAGTACAGTCTTACCTTGGTTTTAATTGCATTGTCCACTTTGAGGAGTGAAGACATCTTATGGGATGAAAGAGACGGAGGATTGTCCCAACAGCATCAAATAAACGTGTGGCTTGTGCTTGTCAGCCACACTCGCATGAGCTTAAAAATGACGACATTAACATGGGACAGTCCCGGTGTTTCGACTACGCATGCGCAGGTCGTCACTGTGGAGAACAAGCAGAAAGCATATGTAATGTATATTATATAGCTTGAGTAACATGGGAATTATAGTCTAATTCTTGTTGATACAGTTTATAAGAGTGTAAAATGAAACGAAGAAACAGATAAACAAGCAAAAGAGGGCTTGGAAGATGACATGATAATGGAGATACCATTAGCGAAATCAGAAGCGAAATCGCTAGTGTGGATGTGGGCTACAAATAACCGGCAACAAGAGTGGGCTACGGAAAATAAAGGGAGACGCTTGTATGTAATAAAGCCAAAAATAG